CAACTCCATACCACAGGAACTGCTTTACTGGGGGAGGCTAAACAGCCTCCACCAAGAGAGGTTCATACCTCTCTGGTAATCAAGTAGCGCCCCTGGTTCAAAGACTTCCCAGCTGATGGTACAGCTTGGTCCCTAGAGGGGTCCTTGAATCTCAAAGCTGGTAAGAACTACTGGGCTGCTGTAGCCATCCACCCCAAATGGCCATCATTTAACCAAGACTGAGAACATTGCCCGATGGGCTAAACTCCATGTGTAACCATCAGTGACACAGGCCACTCTAACAGCCACAGTCTGCTATGTAACTATAGGTGTGAGCTGTTAGAACTGGGCTAGCTATACGGTCTAGTACCTGGCAAATTAAAAACTGAACCACTAAAGGCTCCCCTGAATGGGGACAGGGCCTGTGACAATAGCTTGTGGACTAAAAAAAAAAAAAAAAAAAAAACCAACCAAACCAAACCTATTCATTACTCACATTACACCTGTAATAGGGAGTTATTTAAAAAGAAAAGACAAATTGAAGAGCTAACCTAACTTGTGCTCAGCAAATTGCTGTGATTACCTGTTGGGCCCATCACAAAACAGAGCATGTAAGTCCCCCTCAGATACAGAAATGGTCCAAATCACAAGGATTCCCCCTAGAAAACACTAAAGCCCTCGATACAGCACAGTTGGGAGACTCCTGCCAACGTGGGCAGGTCATACTGTACGGACAATCTGGCCCTGTCAGACTGCTGGTCCTGGTCACCGTGTGTGGTGGTGCCTCTTCGCAGGGGCCTTGTATTGCAGTATGAGACTGCCATTCCAGTGGGTCATTGGGGCAGAGATGACCATTGTAGCTAAAAATAAATAAATAAATAAAAAGACTCCTTTGTTTCATGTTCAGATATCCAGAGGGATTCCAATCTGAGAAGACACCACATTCACAGCCCAAGCAATACCATGACAGATGAGCTCCTGTCCCGTAAGATGAAACTTTCAAGTTGCACCCCCACGCCAATAAACAGGGTGATAAAACAGTGAAACCGACAACTATACAAAGACCATCAAGAAACCCCAACCTACCGAGGTACTCCCTAACTAAGCCATACAGACTTTAGACACCAGCCATCACACTCCAGCAGGAGAGAAATGCCAGACTGTGAACACGCTTTGAACTTGGAGAGGATGAAGGACAGGCTGCACCCAGAATCTCACCCTCAGTACACCCAGACTGTCTTTTTATTTTTTTCTCTCCCAGTCTAATGCACTTCCCCAGGGAGTTAGGGTTAGGGCTGCAGCTGTGTCACCAGAGGGTCCTTCCAATGCCATCTTGAGGTGTCTCCCTCCTGGAGGACCCAAAAAGAGTGGGGAAAGACTGACAGAACATTGGCGCACAGTGTTCCACTGGTCATGCTCAGGACCCCTGACTCCTTAACACTGTGGATAACACTATGGATATGTCAAACTCATTCGAGGTGTGGCCTTCCTATTCGGGATGGATGATGGGGACTGACAATGGTGCAGTGGACTCCTAAGGAAATATCGGACAAGAACATCTTTGGGGAGGTCTGTGGTGAGGGAGGCTGGTAGGAATGTTACCTTTTCCTCACTCTGCAGAGCCTGGCATGACACACCGTGCCTGGCATGACAACACCCTGATAAGAACTAGCACAGCTGCGGTGACAGGAGGTCAACTCGAACAATGCTGGCTTTGTCATCCCAGGATGAAGTCCCTTGCATCTCACACTCCCATTCTCGTGGCCTGGCCAGGAGTCGTTGACTTGGAATTTCCTCCAGACCAGAAAGACTAACTCACTGGACAAGGTGGTGATGGACAGCAGAATGGCCCTCACTCCTCTGCTGGCAAAACAGCTGTTGCTGTGCGTGTGTTGGCAGTGCAGGGAGAGTGGATGTGGAGCTGGAGAAGACCTCACCGGGGGGAGGCTATCAGCTGTACACTTGCCAGGTCCCCAGACTCAATTTTTGACCTCTTTGGTTGGCTTAATCCAGGTATGTGGGAGGCTATCTTCTGATCATCCTCCTGCAACTGGTAAAATGTGACACTGGTAAAATGCTATCTTAAAACGACAGGTAGGCCCTATCAGCAAACTACAGTCACACAAATTTTTCAGGCCCCTTCAGACCAGGCTGTGCCTCCATACTCAGGGTAAAAGATTGTCCTCCTGGATTTGATGTGCTCTATGAGCCATCCTAGTGTGTGTGCACATACACATGGGAAAGACAATCACGTACAGCTTCCTGCCCTGCACGTCAGGACAGGCCTGAGGTCTGGGAACTCTCCTTACCCAGAGTCCTACCACCTGTGCTGGGCATGTCTCCTGAGGACTAGTTTCCCTGTTTCAGACTCTCACACATCAGTGGCCTCAGCCTGGCCCTGCTCTTCTGTCTTCCTGAGGAGGAGCGTCCTTCCATAGTGGCACCAGTGGGGCGCTGCCAGCCCCGTGGTTGTGCTGCACGTGGAGTGGAGCTGTTGGCCATGGGAGACTGAGGGAATGAGAAGGGTGGGATCTAATGTGCTTTCTCCCCTCTGGCTGTAGTACTCACCATGCCACTTAAGCCTGGCATGAATGTCTGTTCTGGGTGACCTTGAGTCATACACTGGGCTCTTCCCTGGGAAGTGCTCACCTGCCTGTTCACTTGGCTGCACACCAGGCCACCCAAGGCATGGTGAACCAACCTCCATGCTTTGGACTTTTTCTGTGTGGCCAGTGCCTCCAATTTCTGAGCTCTCCCAGGCTTCCGTAGGGCACTGGCTTGTTTCTCCTCAGCATTCACCATGTAGTTCTCACTAATGTCAGTCTCGCTGAGGTAGGAGAGAAGAAATTTAAAAAATAGGCAGGGGCTGGTGTTGTGGCTCAGTGGTAGAGCGCTTGCCTAGCATGCGTGAGGCACTGGGTTTGATCCTCAGCACTGCATAAAAATAAAGATATTGTGTCCACCTAAAACTAAAAAATAAATATTAATTCACAAGTTCTGTAAACTTTTCCAGGCTCTTCACTTCCTAAGGCCAGTCACTCTCAAATTCTGGGAAACCTGTAAATCCATCCTGAGCACTGTTAATCAAGCCCCCAACAAGTAAGGAGAGATACAAACTCTCTCTAGCTGTCTCTCTAGATAGATAGATACTGTGGACTGAACCCTTTGAGACAGGGTCTTGCAACTTTCCTAGACTGCCTTGAATTTGCAATCCTCCTGATCAGGCCTCTGTGAGTCACTGGGATCACAGGTGTGCACCAGCACGCCTGGCTAAGAGAGATATTTTGAGAAACCCATACTTTAGGGGACTGATCAGATAATAAGGACCACATCTGCCTGAAGATCCTGAGACTGACCAGCCACAGTCATCTTGAGATCAACAGACTGATATTCCTGTATACCTCCCTATACCCATGCCTCACCAACTCCTTTAAAAAAAAAGCTGGGTTCAATCCCTGGTACCAAACAAAACAACACAACAACAAAAACAAACAAAACTGGAAACCCCCAAAACACATCTCTCACTCTTGAGATGGCTCACATTTTCCCTTGCACGTGTATCTAATCTTCTAAATAAGCCTGTTTCTATGCCTCTGAATGTCCTATGCTGAGGTTCCTTTCCTTCAGGTAAGCCAAGAACCTGCTAGTCCTAAGTTGAAATCCTCTTCCAGGAGTTCCATGGACTCTGCTCTGGGGACCCTGTTCTCCCATGACATCACCATTCTCATCTGTTATGTCAAGGAGACACCTGTTCTCTGATGACATCACCATTCCTGTCTGTCATGTCAATTGCCAGCCTCCTATTTATCACTTTCATATACTTTGATTAAAGATTACAGGTATCTCGTCTTTTTTCAAAATTTGATCATTACTATTGTGGCCTTAACACCAGCCACAGAATCTGGCACATAGTAGAAACATCTGTTCTGAGTTGGAGAATTAGAATCTGCTACCATTTGGGGTTAGTGGTTTTCTGAGAATTTCCTTACTGTGCACAGTCGGGTAAGCGTTACAGGTGTAGCAGCATGACCATCAGCAGGCATCTAGAATTTAGGCTAAAGTGTGGTTGCTTCTTGTAATCTATTGGATCAGAGATGATACATTCTTTTGCATATTTCTGTTTTTGGAAGTCTTTCATTCTTCTACACATCTGCCTCCATTCTCCTCCAAGCTCTTATTTCCAGAAATAAATTATACCCTCCACCACCTAGTCATCAGTTGGCTGCTCTTCTTTGTGGCCCACTTAATTGTGCAGGACTTTTCCACACGTTATTTTGGAAGGGTGAATAAAATTCAAGTCTCTGTGAGAAATGGCATTTGCCATGAATTAGAAAAAGCCCATTAATGTTCAAAACAAAGTAATAAACTGGGTACAGTGGGGCATGCCTCAGCTACTTGAGAGGCTGAGGCAGGATCGAATGAACTCGATTCAAGGCCAGCAGGACAACAGAGAAACTCCATCTCAAAAAAACAAACACAAAGTTGTAAGTTACCAGGGAACTGTCTCCTGCCCTTTCAGAAGATATTCTCCAACTCTGTGTTTGCTTCCTTTGCAGCACTTGTTACAGTCGTCATGCACTATTTTTCAAATTATGTTTATATTTTGCAAGGCTTGGGATAGAACCCAGGGCCTCACACATGGGAGGCAAACACCACTGAGCTATACCTCCAGCCTCTTTTGAGTTATTTTTCAATGATTTTCTTTCAACAGACTCCAAGCTCCATGAAATCAAGGACCATCTATGCCTGTCCCCTTTGCAATCTACCTAGCACTCAGCAAACACAGGGCCAAGAATACCAAAGTGGTGCAAAATGGCAATCTGTGGAATAAGTGATCATTTTTCAAAGTCCCTTGAGATTTGTGATGGTGCCATGTACAAAGCATGAATAGCTTACCCAATCTTATTGCCCGAGCCTGAGTGCCCTGCAACCCAATGAGAAATCAGCAAGAACTGAATAGTCTGAGAACTCCTTTTCTGAACTTGGCTTCTGAGTGGAAAAATGGACACCTGACATGAAACTAACTTATAAATCAGTTTATTTACAGATTTTCTTTTCTTAAAGTACATTTTAGTTAACAAATCTATTTACACAGGTTTACATGGGAATTCGTCCCAGTTATTTTACAGGTCATACTTACAAACCACACCCCAAGTCTTCTGTGCAGAGCTGCACTGGATGTGACTATTGGCTGGAAATGCCTGATGACAGGCGATTTACACGTACACAGTAAACGGGTTTATTTTTCATGTCTGCACAGTACAGTACACACAAGGAGGCCAAGCCTCCCAGAAAATGCTTTGCAATGTATTTACCAAGAAGGCTTTGCAAAGTCCAGAAGGAAAAGCTATTAAACATAGGTTAATTAAAATGACAGTACCTCCTTTACATCAGTTTACATTTTTTCTTCACATTTTTATAATACAAAGATATTTTATTGAATTGCTGCACAACCAGTTTAAGATGGTTTGTAAACATGTAAATTCCTACAATTTGCATTAAACATCATTGTAGTTTCTATCGCTTGCTCTTTGAATTAATGTTTTATTCACTAGTATTTTTAAGGTAGTAAAAGGAAGATGTAAGTTTGAATTTCTTGCAGAAAAGTTATGAGTCTCTAACGCTGTGCTACAGAAATTCTTTTGCGAGTACACACTTTATTCAAGTATTGCAAAAAGCTAAGGCCACTTTTTTTCAAGACAAGAAAGTGAACAAAATTGTTTTTTTTTTTTTTATCAATAGGCCACAACACTCTGATGAGCAACGAAATCTCTTTTGAAAGATAATTTCTCAGAGACCTGTAGTCACAGAAGGAATTTTCTTTTCTTTTAGGAAAAAGAAAAACAAATTACCTTCCTTATTAACTACTTTTGAGCTCTTCCCACTTTCCCTAGAGTAAAAATTCCTGTTTAGACCTGAAGAGGGAATCTATACCCTGTACTTATTTAACCCAGAGTCAACTGCTCTGGAGAGCACAAATTGTTTTGGACTCAGAAGTAGATCTGAAGCCTACATGTTGGTTTACTACTAAATTCTGATAGTGCTATTCTAAAAGATATTACTGCTGATGCAAAGATATTTTTCTTAGAGGAATTATGAAGACTGAAAAGAGGATGGGGTGCGGGGATAAGGAGCAAAGATTAGAAAGAGGGACTCTTTAGGTTCTTGGTTAAGAGGCAGAGTTTGATTAAAAAGATCCCAGTGCGGAATGAGTGGCTGGGTATCCATGTTTACCATTCCTAACGATAAACCTACTTCAATTAGATCCAAGTGGTTAAAATAATCAGAAATCTGTTAATTATAAATTCCTTTGTTTCTGCTCCCAAACTATGGATGATCATTTCTAACAACGAGTAAGACTCTCCTGCCCCTCTATGGAGCCCTGGACTCTGGGTGGCAGAGACAGCTGGCGGAGAGCAGGACGCCACTGCTGTATTCTTGGCAGCCTTTCCTCCGGGGCTCCGAGTCCAGATCCCTGCCGCCATGGACTTACAGCAGCACTCTTTTCCTTTCCTGGAGTCATAATGTCATAAGGAGTAAAGATAAATTTTCTTATTAAAAACTGACTTTAGGTCCAAATAATGAAGATGTAGAAAAACAACTAGATTCCTATTATAGTACTTTGATATTCATTTATAAAAAATTTACAGCAGCTGTAAAGTTTCAGTATTATAAGGACAATGTGATCCTACAAACAGCCAAAGGATGCTGATATGATGTTTTTGCCACAAGTAACCAAAGTGGAAAGAAATGTCTTTGCTTTTCCTTGGCCACATGAAAATAATATTTCCACACTACTGGTTAATAACCCCGAGAAACCTTTGTTTCTCTTAGTCAATTTGCTCATTATGGCTACAAGACTACAGCTCAACATCAAAGGCACAGAAGAAATGCTGTTAATACATCAATCTGAGCATTTCCCCAGGCCCAATCACAATATTTCAGTGCTTTCCTTATTTGTCAAGAGCTATCACACCAGTCATTGTGCAAAATGCAAATATTCCAATGATTACTTCAGGAAGTTTCTTGTAATGACAGGGTGAAACTGAAGATGAACGGACGTGTGCATAGTGAGACACTTAAGACACAAAGGCGAGTGTGGAGGAAAGATGCAGAAATGAAAAAACGTGCACACTTAAAATATCATACCATCTTTGGGGTTTTTCTAACACATTTTGAAGCTATAACATTCCAGGATATTTGTAACTATGAATCCAGTGGATGTCTTATATCATGCTTCTAATCAGGACCTTCAAGGTTAAGGCATTTACATTCACGCCTAAGATTATCCACATTCTTCTAGATTATGTGAAGAGGGAGGGGACTGATTCAGAGGAACCAGGCAGGAAGGCAGGTACTGAGGTCCCAGGAGAGCATCTTCTATGCTCGAATGTAGCAGCTGGAGTCTAGATTTGTTTCAGATACAGGTAATAGTTGTGAAAAGCAATGCTGTAAGAGAGGCAGAATTAAATTTTACAGTGTCTTTAAATCATTTATCCCATTCCGGCTACTGCAGGTGATCTTAGGAAAGCTCATCTTCTTTTCACTGAATTTAACTGACCTCTTCCATGTGTGTTTGGGTTTGTTAAAACCATAGGTTTCCTGTGCAAAGACTATGAACCACAGAAGCTTCAAGACGGAGGTTTAACTATTACAAGAAGAATCTTTCACTTCTGAATAGGGACGCACGTTTTCAACTTAATAATTTATCTTAAAATAAATTAAAAAAAGTTCCATAGAGCAAAACAAGCACACAAACTACAGACAATATCTTTTTGTCTTTGGTGCACACACTCATTTCCTAAATCATTCAAGTAACAGCGTCTCTGACTTCTTGGGGAGAGATGGGAGTTGAAAGTTTGAAGGCCAAAATGAATTATTTCCACTTTTGCCATGCCTGGATGCCTGAGATGGTCCTGAGTATCTGATTCTGGGAGCAGCTGGTAGAGGTTCAGGACGAGTAAGAAAAGTGCAGGGGTAAGAAAAGGGGCAGAGGAACCAGCCCTGCAGAAGTCCTTTGAGCCAGTCTTCAGTGGGGCATTTCTGTTTTCATGCCCAGACAGGAAAAATAAGTGTAACACAAAGGTTTACAGTTCTTTAGGTGGTGCTCAGAAAGCAAGGCTACCATTTATTTCTGTTAACTTCACAGTCCGCTTGGTGCTGCTCAATTGCGACAATGGAAGAAAATGGTCTTCAAAAAGCAATGGAATAAACTCCAGAATGTGAAATAGGCAGACCCTAAACATGCCTATTTTAGAAGTGGTTAAGAGTTTAATACTGTTTAATACTATAATGTCCATTATGACTTTCATGGTATAGAACAGGATTACATTTCAAAAATAATATGACGAATTGATCTATGTATCTTGCTTGCCTGACTTCAGACTCAAGAAGTGACACCCTTGTCTAAGCTCAGAGGTGCTTCTGGTGTTCTCAGCCCTCTTCTGAGATCTAGGAAGGGTATTAACAAGAAGTATAGGGTTATACTGCGTCTCAACATCAGGAGTGTGACCCTGCCCATCAAAAATAACCAAGTAATCCAGTGGACAGTCTCTAAAGGCAAAGGCTGTAATACCAGATATACTGCATTGTCTCATGAGTTCTAAAACAGCAGTCCATAAGAAGAGGTGCAAGGTCCGGAAGCACTCTTGCTATGATGGAGATGGGGTGTCTATCAGGAGGCAGAAAGGCCCAGGACTCATGTTAGCACTCAGTGTTCAATTTATTTGCAAGATGTCACACAAGTAGCATTCTCCCCTGTTTTTCACTGATCTGATTCAGAACATCAATAGTATCTTTGATCAAGGTCTCAAATATCCCATCGGCCAGCTGCATCTTCACACACAACTCGTCCTCATCATAGTTCACCCACTGTGCCTCCTCTTCATGGAGCTCCTGTACCTAGAGTTTAGAAGACAAAGAAAGTGGAAAATCCTGGTCACACAAAAGCTAGGAAATTAATTTTGTTAGCTGACTTTGTAGTCCCATCCATGGGAAATAAGAGAAAAATGGTAATTCATATGATGTTGTCAATATTCCTTTTAAAACTGCAAAGAGCTTGAAAAATTCAACTGAAGAATAAAATAAAAATGGCTTCAAAACTACATTTCAATTTGACAATATTCCTGTATTTTATAGATATTATAGGTTATAAGGAAGTTGTCTACACTAACACAAAGGAATATGCATAGGAATTTAAAGGAAGAGAAGACAAATGTTAGATATAAAAAGAAATTTATAATTATAATATGCATATCCAAAACCAATACTGCATGATTCTAAATTAATAACATTTAATTTCCATTAGTGTATTTTAAAAATGTAACCCTGCTTGAGCTTATTTAAAAAAAAATCACTGTTATAGTGCTTGTTTTAACACATTTTTTTAAAAATGACTTTACAAAAAAAACATGTTAGACTTCTATAAATAACGACATTGTAAGTGAGATGGAGGCCAGGTACAAAGTAATGGCAAACCTTGATCTAGTCACAAATTCAGCAAAGTTAACTGCTGTGACAGGGGTTCTAAAGAAGTCTAACCAAGCTGCCAAGTGACAACAAGATCTTGGTTTGTCCTGATCATAGTTTCATCTCAAAAAAGGCAGTGTGGGGCTAGTACTCTGGTTTCATTATATGAAAATGAGAAGACTTGGGAGAAACAGACAACATCATCCTGAGGGGGGTGGGTGAGAGAGAGAGAGAGAGAGAGAGAGAGAGAGAGAGAGAGGAGAGAATGCATTGTCTAATGCCTACTCTTAGCTGGGGTTGACAAATATATTTCAAGGTGACTGTCATATTCCTTCTCTTTGAAGATGGTGTTGGAAGAATATGTAAATATTCAGTCCTCTGTTCCCCAATTTATGCTCCACAGAATAGATGGTGCCATCAAAAAGGGGGTTCTATGGTCAAATTTAAGTTAAGAGAACTCCCTCTGGGAGATTTACAACGTACGCAGCCTTTTAAAGAGAAGTCCTCCTGTAAAGACACTTGTTTAACTCACATTTCCTAGATTTATTTCACCATAGGTTGTGTGGATATGTAAGTGTTCAATTTATTGACCTACCCAGAGACTGAAGGGAACTAGAAGAAACAACCTGACATATCTCAAAAACTGCAGCTGAGAGAGAACTGTTCTGAGAAAGCCGAGGTGGGTCTGCACACATGTCCTCAGTGAATTTGTTTGCATTTCTTTCCTTCTTCAAGTAAAGTTACCTTAGTCTTTGTCATTAAATCTGTCTTTGAAAATTTCATCAAAAACAAAATTTAGGAAACAGAATTCTAAGAAAAACTTTTTCTTAAAAAAAAAGAAAAGGAAGTTTCTTTCTCAGAACTATATGATGTTTCTCTTTTGCTCTGGCTATCAGAAAGCTCAAAGCCAAACTTGTAATTTCAATGATAACAATAGAGGAATTTCAAAGTTTGCAAATCTGCCTTTATTTTTTATTTCTGGTGTTCGAGATCTATTACACATATACTCCTGAATATGTGTGTGTAAATATAAAACATGTAAACTATTAAAATTACATTTAAAATCAGGCTAATAATAACTTCCTTCCTTTCTTTTCTTCTGCAGGGTAATAGGCTGGTGGACTAGAGAAATGTGGTAAAAAGAATATGGGCTGATTTCAGCAGGCAAATGCCAGGGTCTTATGCCAGCCCTTGTGAACAAGATGGGGAAAGAGAAAATAGGTGTTAGGTGGTTTTTCACTTTTTGACTAAAAGGACAGCTGTAACCTGGAAGGAAGTCTCTGCCTGAAGGGCACAGAAACTTTCCACTGTACTTCTATTCTAACCTACTTCTATTCCATTATACCAATTACCATGCTGAAATGTTTTCTGTGCATCTATTCCCCCACTAGGTTGTGAGCTCCTTAAGAATTATTTATTTATTTGCAATTTCCCAGTGAAGGACAGTGCAAACAGAAAGTGCTAAATATCTCCAATATATGGACATTTTTATTGAATTCAGAAAGAATGTCTTTGGTTTTAACCAGCTCACGGTTTGTTTGTTGTTTGTTGGTATTGGGAATTGAACCCAGGGCATGCTTAACCACTGAGCCACATCCCCAGCCCTTTTTATTTTGAGACAGGATCTCACTAAGTTGCATAGGGTCTTCCTAAATTGCTGGCTTTGAACTTGTGATCCTCTTGCCTCAGCCTCCTGAGTAGCTGGGATTACAAGAATGTGCCACTGGGCCCAGTTGTGAGCACTGTGTTTGAAAAGGAACACTAATAAAGATATGATAATGCTGAAAAGACTCAAAATCACATTAGACATGGGAGAGAATATCAATATTTTAATAGGGAGAAAAGACTCAGGTGAAACAGGAGAGGTGGTTCAAAAGGGTATAGAAGCAAACTGTAATTGTGTGAAACCAATTTAGGCTTATCATGAGAAAGAGCTTATCAGTGATAAGCAGAAATTCAGGAGCTGCCAAGTATCTTAGCAGATCACAGGTTATAAAGAGGATTCAATCGTTAGCTAGGTGACTTTACAACAGGTTTTGTCATGTTAAGTGCAATTATATCTCTAGTAGGGAGATTTTCCAAGTCCATTTTACACGAAGGATATACAAAAGTTGATCTAATTACTTGTTAATCACTATATATCATATATACTTTGATAATTCACTACTAAAATAGCTAAAATTCTTAGTGAACATAAGATGTAAATCAACCAATGCCTTTGTTTGTGAAGGGATTAATGAGAACTAGAGCTCAGAGAAAGATCTGACTTTCGTTTTTGTTAGCAGAGGTTATTATAATCAAATAATGTCTAAACACATGTACAGTTAGCCCAAGCAAGAGCCAAAATATATATTTTGTTAATGTGAAAGAAGCAACTATTATGAAATGTTTAGTATAATAATCACATTACAAGAATTTTAAAAGGACAATTAATATTTAGTTTGATAAGAGCTGGTGTTACAGCTCAGTGGTAGAGCCCTTACTTATCACATGTGAGGCACTGGGTTTGATCCTCAGCACCACATAAAAATAAATAAATAAAACAAAGGTATGTATCCACCTACCCCACCCCCCCAAAAAAAAAAAGAAAAAAAGAAAAAAGATTTAGTTTGATTAAAAAATCATAGCTCACAATAAAGTGAGACATATTCTTATGATGGAAGGATGGTTTTACATATTAAAAAAATTAGTAAGGTGCTGGGGTTGTGGCTCAGCTGCAGAACGCTTGCCTAGCATGTGCGAGATGCTAGGTTTGAACCTCAGCAGCACATAAAAATAAATAAATGCACTTCAAAGTCAAGGCTGCACATGACAAACCCAGCTGGAAGTGAAAGCTCTTCCTCTTAGATCAGGGTGAAATAAGGAGATTCATTCTCACCACTTCTTTTTGACATTGTACTACCAAGCCACAGCAAGAGGAGGAAATAAAATTCAACCAAATAGGAAAGCAAGAAGTGAAAAAGTCTCTATTTACTGATGACATGATCAGAAAAACTAAAGATCCACCAAAACAAACAAACAAACAAAAAACCCTGTTAAAACTAATAAACAAATTCAGTACAGTTTCAGGGTACAAAATCCAACCTATAAAAATCATTAGCATTTCTACACACTGATAACGAATTATCCAAAAAGGATATTAAGAAAACAACACCATTCACAACAAAAACAAAAAAACTTAAATGTCAACTTAATTAAGGAGGAAAAAGACCTGTAAGTTGAAAATTATAAGACACTGATAAAAGAACTTAAAGAAAATACAAATGGCAGGATAGCCCATGTTTGTGGATTGGAATAATTAATATTGTAAAAATGTCCACAGTACTCAAAGCAATCTGCAGATTCAATACTATCCCTATCAAAATTCCAATATCATTTTTTTAATTGAAATAGAAAAAAAAATCCTTAACTCATTTTGTCCCATGGTCCCAGATGTGGAACATCTATAAACACTTAAATTAAGCAACAATTACAGTAATATTACAGTAACTTTGAAATAATTATGTTTTTAGAGTTCTATTCTTTTGAGACAATAGATGATTAGAATGTTTTAAACTATTTTAAAATTCATTTTGAAAATGGCCCAAACTTCTTCTTCTCCTTCTTCTTCTTTGGTAATTGTAGATAGAATGCTTTTGTTTATTTTTAGTGATGCTAAGGATCAAAGCCAGTGCCTCACACATGCTAGGCAATTACTGTGTCACTGAACTATACAGCCTCAGCCCTAAAGTTACTTCTACTGAATGTTCAATTGAACAAAATACTATGTACATAACTGACAGAAAATTTAAGAAATAAATTCATGAAAGTATTTTATCATTTTATTTTGAGGAATGCACTATATTTCAGATTATTAATGGTGGAAATACCTATCCTATAAATGGGATACTGGGACAATGTATACTGCATAGTCATTTGCAGTGTACTACATGGACATTCTGGGATGCAGAAATGAAATTAACCTGCCCTCATTCTCAGTTTGTACATCAAAATTCATCTTTGCCCTTCTCTATCCTACCTTGAGTTCTAAGAGGCTGAATGCTAAGGACCAGGTTTTCCCTCTGAACTTGCCCAATGGAAAGGACTTCCAGAAATGAGACAAGAATACTTAATCTCCATGATCCTATGTCACAAACCACAAATTGGCTGAGGCTGAAACTCTACACAGAGCCACAGCTTCAGCACTCACTGGTTTTGCTAGCTGTTGATAACACAATGGGTAATAATTGCCACCTTCTGTTGGTAATCCGTGGGTATTGCATCATATCTGGTTAGTTCCCACAAACTGTCCATACCTTTATAAATAGTTTTTTCTTTATGCTAACTGGATGAAATATGGATAATATGATTAAAGCTGTTCCAAACTTTTGTAAATAGTTTTTTTCTTTATGCTAACTGAATGAAATATGGATAATATGATTATCAGATATTAT